CTGCTTTTCCCTGATGCACAACCCACTGGCCAAGGCATGGTGCAGAACAGCGAGCAGCAGTGTAATGGCTCACTCCAGTAGGGGCTCTTTCCCAGCCCTGGCACTTAGCACTTCATCTACTGTCTGGATAGCAGCTTGATGAGCCTCTGCACACCCCTGTGCTAACTTATTACTACTGCTTATTGTTTTACAGGGCCCCAAGGAGTGCTGCATGTATCACTGAACTGTAGCTGGCCCCAAGATGACTTTGGCCTCATAGTGCCTAAAACATAGTGTGCAAATGTGAGCTATGGGGGTTTATCTACTCAGTGCTGATGGTGAGATCCTGTGGGTGATGCAGCACAAAACAGCCCTCAGTCTGTCCTCTCTCTGACTCACATGTCAGAGGATCAGAGAATACCCCAAACTGGAAGGGACCCATGATGATCATCGAGTCCAGCCTCTGGCTTTGCACAGGCCTACCCAAAATTCAAATAATATTTCTGGGAGTATGTGTTCAGAGGACAAGCAGCCCCTCAGCACTCACCATGCTGTCTGCATCCAGAGCCTCGGCCATCTCTGCACTCTTCAGTCATGGTGCTTTCTCCATTGCTCTGCACCCCTCCTGCATTGTACACCATCGCTCTTGCGCTCGCTGTGCATCCGTGTGTGTTCTGCAGCACCCTGAGATCTGGCAGAGCACAGCCTCAGCTGGGATGAGGACATGAGCACCACGAAGAAGGCATGAAGCTGCTGCCTGCCCTGCTCCACATGCTGCAAACCTACCTGCGCATGTACTGATAAAGCTGACACTGTGCGATGTCTGCACACTTGCTTTTGAAATCATCCCCATGCCCAGACCTTCCTCACTGCAGGATGTCTCTGTATCTCACTACAAACCATCTTAGGTGGTTTTAAGCGGAGATATTTCTAAAATATTTGATGTCTGTGGCGTATCTGAGAAGCATTTGAAATATACTAAATAGCTTGGAAGTATCTTCTGTCTAGGAGGCTGAGGGTTTGTTACTCAGCCTTCTCTCTGTAGGACACATTTCAAAGGACTTTTGAATGTTTGACTTCATCACATCTGAAAGCTCTCGTGGGTGACTGCTGGAGCAGAGCCAGGCTGAGGGCTCTCATGTGTTCGGTGCTCTGCTGGCTGAAATCATGGCTCGTTTCTGTCTTGGCACAAGGAAAACTGATTTCCTGGCCCCAGCCCAGACTTGCTGGGACCTGGCATGGTTGCCCTGATGTGCTCCAAAGGGCTTGGCTGGGCCCTGTGCAGCATGGTGGTTCCATAGGGATGCCCATGGGGTGGTGCCAAGGCTGCTCTGCTGCATCCCAGCGCTGCTGGTGGTGATGTGGGGCATGGAGCTGTGAGAGCAAAGCCCTGTGAGGGCAATGAGGTCCGTGCATGCTGTGAGCTGCTCATCCTGGGGACAGCTTCCACATCGAGTGCCATGAGTGGGTAACACCAGGTTGCCCCTCCAAGGGGACGAGGGGAAGCAGTGCCCCATTGTTGGCAGCTGCACCAATGGGTTCCCTGTCCTGCTGGGGGAGCAGGAATAGAACCCAGTACCTGGTCAGTGGGTGACAGTCTGAGCTCAGCCTCTCGGCTGCTGGGTATGGTGCATGTGCTTTGGGGGTGAAGGAGGGCTCAGAGAGGTGGGCTAAGGATGGAAACAGAGTGACTGTGCATAGGAGAGACAGCAAATGAAGTAGCCAGACAGAGGAAGGAGGTCTGCAAAATAAGACTTGACTTGGCAACAAAAGAAAGTGGAAAGACAAAAACAGTCTCCCAGCAAAACATTGGAATTTAACTTTCACAGCTGCAAATGGAAAACAATCACTTCCCACACGAAAATAACTGATGGGCTGCATTGACGAAGAGATGTCTGAGGAATTTCAATTAAAAGCCAGTGATGCTGACAAAGGCAATGAGATTGAAGTGTTCAAAGGTAAGTGAGCAATGGGGAGGGAGGAACAGTAAGTGGCAGGCGGGGAACAATGAGTGCTCAGCTCTGCGTGGGCTGGGCCCCTTGCATGGAGGCAGAGGGAAAGCGCTGAGCTCTCAGTGTTTTGCCCAGGTTCTCTGTCACTACTGCACCATGGCAGCACCATGGGCAATGTGTTGGCCTTGTCACCATGGTGTTACCTTTGCCTGGCTGCTCTCCTGGGCTTCCCATCCGGGTGATGTTTGTCCTCTCTTTCTGTGACTTCTCTTTGGAGTCAGAGCTATGTTTGCTCTTCGCCTGTAGGAGCAGAAAAAGCAGGGTGAGATACCAGGCCTTGGAGCAGCTGGGAGAACTGAAACTTGGCTGGAGGTACTGCCATAGGTGATGGCAGAGACAAAGCTGAGCCGCAAGCAGAGCATGGCAGGAGCCTGCATCAGCTTCTCTGCAGCTTCCAAGCCAGCCGGTGAAGAAGGCAGCAGACATGATGGAAGAGCACATCCTTGTAAACTCTCTGCCACAAGGACAGCTCCACTCCACCTGAGCCAGCGATGGAACCAGAGACCAGCAGGCTCAGGCTGCTGGAAGGGCACTGCCAGCACCCCCAGAAAGGAGACCATGAAGGTCTCAACCACAGGTTTGGAATTTGCCAGGAAAGGCTCTGCCTGGGTCTAGCAGGAGGCTGAGAGCTGTGGTCCCTGTGTGTGCTGCAGCACGGCAGAGCTTTCGGGCTGATGGTCCTGATGGGGTTGTGCTGATCGGCTGCCTTGAGAAACAAATCCACTTACATGGAGATGCATGGGAGAAACAACCGACTGCTGCCGGCCCCACTCAGAGCCTGCCAGATTCTGCAGCCCTGCTTCCCTGAGGCACGCTGCATCTCCAGGCGTGTGTTGTTCCATTAAGCTATTTTTAGCAAACACATTCCCCTTATTTCAGCAGCAGTTATCTGATTAGTTCCTGTAACTATATGAGGAGCAACATTTCCAGGCATGACTGAGAGCTGTGAGCAGGCTGTGCCTCTTCACATGCATTTTCTCAAAGGGAAAAACTTGCTGGGGCTGCTCCTCCCGCTGTGCTCCCATGGCTCTGTGGCTCCAAGCGCCCGCATTGCATGCAGCCAAGCTCTGCAGCATGCGACCTTTGGCAGAGCAGCAGCCAGCAGGCAATGTCCCCAATGCTACCTGCAATAAGGGACCATCCCTGTGCCACGTTGCTGAGATGCAGCGACGATAAGCAGCTGGCTTTGTTTGCTCTGAGCATGAGACTCTTAAAGACTTCTATCGTCATCAGCTGTAGTGGGGATGGGGGAAAAACGAAGTCTCTTTGCTAAAGTAGTGCTGGTCCCAGGGAGTCTGCGCACCTTTCCAGCCGCTTTGTTGCTGCATGGGGACAAGCTAAAAATCCCATGGAGCCATTGCTAGCTCCACAGCATTGTACTTTGCTCTCTCCACCTCTATTGACCACAACTGTACTGGAAAATCAGATTATAGAGCAAAGCCTTGGCACCAAGTCTGCTCTGCCAAGTCAGGTCCTCCATCTCCTGGATGGATCATGGCAGGAAGAGGGCGAGAAGCCTCTGCTATGACATCTTTATCTCCAGCCTCAGCAGAAGGGAGCCCAGAGCTCTGCAGCCATGGCTGTGTGTGTGGCTCAGGGTGGCAGAAGGGGATCTCAGGGGGAACTGAGCCCAACTCATCTCCCCCATCCATGACAGAAGCTCTCAGAGCTCTGCTCTCTGCCTCCTCCCTCCGCAGTGGGAATGTTTTAAGAGAGCAGAACAGGAATTCACTGCAGCTTTAAATGCACTCAAAGCAGCTGTTCTGCTGCATGCAGAGAAGCACTGCCCCGGGGGCATTGCAGGTCCGGGAGGGGAGGAGAGGATTTGGGCTCACTGAGGTGCCCACTTATGCAGCTCAGCCCTTGGGGGCACCGAAGGTCCCAAAGAGCAGCGCTCACTCTGACTGTAGCAGCAGTACAGTGTCACCATGGTGCGCTCTGGGCTCTGCCCATGGCTCAGGTTGGTGTGAGCTCCTTTGTATTGGCCATCAGCTCCTCCTGGGCTTGTGCAAGCCCTGTTACTTATTTATGCCTTCATTGTGTGCTTGCTTGGCTTCTCACCAGGGACATTTATTTTCCTCTCCTGCTCCGATAGGACTGCTCGAGTCTCCTTCTGCAGGAAGGATAAGGCTGTGCCGCTGGAACTCTGTCACACAGCTAGAGACATTTATTTCAGTTGAGGGAGTCGCAAGTGCCTCTGGTGACACTTCATTTGCAGCCAGAAAGATGCAAAGCGTTCCTCACTGAAACCAGTTGCTGAGACACCGAGGATAGCACAAGTTGCCAGTAGAGCAGACAGCACCCGCTGCCCCCCAGAGTATGCTCTGCCACCCCAATTTCTATGCCTGCTCTTCTCTTCCCTGTGCTTGTCTCTTGCCCATGGCTCTGCCAGCTGTGGAGCAGTGCAGGAGCTCCAGCTGCCGGAATATGGACCCAGACCCAGAGAGCAGCCACCCCCATGCACTGCTGTGAGACTGGGGTATGCAGCAGATCAGGGGCAGCAGGCAGAGTGTGGAACACAGCACCCACAAAAGTGAACGCGCCCGTGCTGCACCCCTAGAGCACATGTGAGTGCGCAGTGTGCTGCTCCTTTTGTGGGTGTGGATGCACGGTGCGCAAGCATCCTTCGTGGGTGCAAATGCACGGTGCATTGCTCTCTTCGTGCCTGCAAACGCACGGTGCTGCTCCCTCCCTGGGGGCAAACGAAGGCCGCTGCTCTCTTCGTAGGTGCAGACTCACGGTGCGCTGCTCCCTTAGTGGGTGCCCTCGGGCCGCCCCTTCCCGCACTTGTGAGAGCCCGCAGCTCCGCTCCCCTCCCGCACGAGCACCGCTCGGAGCACAGAGCGCGGCGGAGCGCGGCCGGGGAGGAGCGAACGGGCGCGGAGCGGAGTGTGCCTGGCCCTCGCCGCCGCCTCCGCGGCGCTGCCATTGGAAGCGGGGCCGGGCCCGGGGAGGCGGCGGCGGCGGCGGTACGGCCCCGCGCCCTGAGCGCGGCCGCGCTGCCCCGGCATGTCGCGGAAGAAAGCGGCACGGAGCAAAGGCGGCGGCTCCGCGCCCTCCGCCGCGCTGCCTCCCCCTGCCGCCACCGCCCCGCGGAGCCCCGCGCCCGCTCCGGAGCTGCCCCGCAACGGCGGCGCTGCGCCCGGGCGGCCCTCGCTGAGCAGCAGTGGAGAGTTCTACGACCTCACCTTCAAGGTGCGAGGGGCTGTGGGAAAGGGACTGCCCGGGGAGGGGCGGGCCGGGCCGGAGCAAAGCGTGGGGTGCCCGGGGGCGTGGGGGGGTCCGCGGGGCTGTGCCGTGCCGTGCCGTGCCGTGCCATTACGAACCGAACCGTGCCGTGCAGTTCGGAGCCGAGCCGTTCCATTCCACGCCGTGCTGAGTGCAGCAGCCCTCCCCGCGGCCACCGGCAAAGTTCCTCGGAGATGGGGGGGCCGTAGGGCACCTACCGTCGTGCCCTCACCCCCCCACACTCCGTGCTTTGGCCGCCCGCTAACCGCTGCCATCCCCTACTCCACATCTGCAGGGCTCAGCCCTACCACCCGACCCAAGGCTGTGTGTCCGGTGGCTCTGAAGGAGGCTCCGTGGAAAGCCCTCCACCAAAGGGCTCCTGCTCAACTTTTACAAGTGGTGACAGATGGCTTTCTGCTCAGACTGGTTACCATAACCTTCTGCTCCCTCTTTACCAAGATAAAGAATTGGGTTATAAACCAGGATGACAGTTTCTTTGCGTCGCATTGGATCTGCTCTGCCTGCTGTTGAACTATCTCCAGCTTGTGCTTTCCTGTAAGGGCTCAGCTGGCTCCGTCTTGCTGCTCTGGGTTCTGGCTTGTGAGCCAGTCTCATTTCCAACACAGCTCTCTGTAACCCAGCATGGAGCTCTAAGCTACAGGGAAGGTGGTGTTTGCTCTGGCGAGGTCCAAGTGTTGGTGCACAGTGCCAGGAGCGCAGCACCTGTGGTGCAGCCATGGCATTGTAAGGATTTGAGATGTTGGTTCAATTCTTTGGGAGGCAGTGGTTGCTGGTACAGCTGCAGCAGCAGTGCAACAGCTGTGCTTATATGGAGCTGACCTCGTATGGATGCTGCCCTGAGCTCAAATAAACCCAACTATGCAGGGTAGTAAAGGGCTCTGCTCTGTGTCCGGGTGTTCCTCACTGATGGATGCTATGCTGTGTTTGATGCCAGCCTAACCTAATGGACTTCCCCTGCTCCCTCTGCTGAGCTGCCCCACAGACAGCAGTAGCCCCTCGGGGCAGGCATGGGTCTAGTTCCAGCTGGCAGAGCTGCTGGGGGGATCCCAGCCTCAGTGCTGCTGGGAGTGGTGGGCTCAGGGGTGGGCACACTGGTGTTGGAAAGTTTTAAAAAAAATCAGCTCTGCTGTTTTGTACTAAAATTTTACACACACACACACACACACACACACACACAAGACTTTTTTCTCCTCATCCCCTGGATCCACACACATACATATAGGTTTATCTGAGCTCACTGTGTCATGGCTCTCAGTAGGGCTGCATGGGGCGGTTGCAGCAAGCAGCTGCTGTGGGGCACCCCAGGAAAAGAGCCGGAATGAGCCCCAGAAGAGAGGCATCCATGTCTGGGGCTGTCTCCGTTCGGGTGGAGTGGCAGAGCTCATGGCACTGGTTGGTGCTGCTGGCTCCTGTGTGGGTTTGCTTTGACCCAGGGCAGTGCCTGTGTTGGAATCGTTGATATTTGGTCACAGGCTGACAATTTCTGCAGGGACAATGGCAGTCGGGCTCATGGAGGCAGCACCGTGCCCTGGGTGTGTGGAGCAGTGCAATGGAGTGGTGCAGCAGCCTTAGTGCAGCCAGGCTGAGCAGCTGCTTGTATCCAGGATGGGGCTTTTGGGTTGCAGAGGGGTAATGGCTGTGGTGGGGCTGCTTCAGGAGAACGTTTCCTAACCCTGCTGCCTCCCTCCTGCAGGTGATGCTGGTGGGCGACTCGGGGGTCGGCAAGACCTGCCTGCTGGTGCGCTTCAAGGATGGCGCCTTCCTGGCGGGCAGCTTCATTTCCACCGTGGGGATTGACTTCAGGGTAAGTTGAGATGTGCCAGGTTGGTGACTGTCTTCAGAACACCAAAATGCTGCTCCAGCCATGTGGAGCTCGGCATCCTGCACCGGTGCGTACCCCTGGGGCTGCGGGTGGAGGAGGCAGCTGATGGCTGCAGCAGCGTCTAATTATGGCTCTGCATAACAAAGGGGAGTGAGTCCTCCCTCTGTGTGCCCTGGGGAGGGTTTGTGTACGCACAACTGTTTGGCTCTGACCATCTGCCCAGCGAAAATATTTCCCTAAGCCAATGTCGTTGTTTTAAAAACTATGATAGAAAACAATAACAAAGTGATGCAACCCAACATCTCCTCGAGGCATCTCCAAAGCAAACCTTAGGGGCACGGTGCAGGAGCTCTGTGTCATTGATTGAGCTGCGCATCCTTAGCCCCATCCTACCCAGACTGAGGACGGTGGCCATTGCCCAGGCAGCATTTTCTAATGCTTTTGCCTTCGGGTACTCTGTTGGGAGCTGGTGACTGGCTCTTCCAGCTGTTGTTTGGTGGGGGTGTTGGATTGAATGGGGGACCTGGAAACAGGCAAGCAAAACTAGCATCCCCAAAGGGTGGTGATGGGCCATGTCAATCTGGAAGCAGCAGTTGGAAGAAGAGTGGATGGACTGAGGTTTCAGGATGGATCCCAGCCCCTTCCTGCTCCCTGCAGCAGCTTGGGACATGTGGCACAGTGTGGGACAGTGGTGCTGTAGGTTCCTCTGTCAGCACCGTGGATGCCCCTGTGCTGCTCGTTCCATGGGTTGATGATGCAGAGTGGTGCCCTTGGCTGTGCTGTGCCCTCCCAGCTGCCTTTCTTCATTCAGAAGCTGCACAGATGCTGTCCTGGGCACAGACAGAAGCTCTGGTGCCACTGTTCCTGCAGTTCTACCCCTTGCATGTGAGCATGTCCTGCACTGCAGCTCTTGATGCAGAGTGAGGCCACGGGGGCCACAAATGTTGGTGGATTGAAGCCCATAGTCGTATTCCAACATAATCACACCATATTTTGAGTGTTCTTAAAAGGAAAGCATTGTATTACTGATCACAGTGATTGATACCAAGGGCAATCTTACAACCTGTCACTTATTGATCAGAGTGCTGAAACAAGTGCCACTGAGCAGCAATCAAATTAGGGTTAATTTACTCCTGTAATAGAACTGCTGGAGGTGCATGGGTCTGAAATGGGCAGATTATGCAGCGGGAGACATCAGGAGTGTGTCCTAAACCTCATTATTACCATCTCAGTAAGACGCTCATCATTTTTCAGGGACATGGAAATAGTTCTGTGATTGTACATCTCCTCTGCCATTACGATAATCCTGTTTGCAGGCGCCAAGTAATTGTGCCCCTCTGCTGTTTGCATTACAATGCACAATTACAGAACTCCAGGCTGAGAGCACCAGAGGCTTCTGCTGCACAAGCAGGTTTGGTGTTTAATTAGCATCCAGCTAATAACGGAGCTGTCACACTGCCCTTCCTTTGCCATCCCTGAGTTCAAAGCCAGGTTTCTGGCTGAAGCCCCCAAGCCCATATGTGCCAATGGGTGGCTCTGGATTTGGGATGGGCTCTGCTCTGCTCTGACCTCATCCAGTCCCTATGGGGCACCCAGAGCCCTCACTTGCATCCTTTGGGACTGCCTGGGCGAATGGCTGAAAGATGGTACTGCCTGAGCAAATGTAAATGAATAGAAATCCATATAAAATTAATCAGGCATTACAATTCTTAATGACCCCCTAGGTTTTTCCCTCCTACTGGTTTAAGTTACGGATAGTCTCTCATGTTTTGTTGTTTGTAATTGTCTCCTAAACAAACACAAGGATGTTGATGTAAATACCAGCGTTTCCTTTTCCAAACAGACTGGGGAAATTGCAATGTTAGCATTAGGAAAAAACGCATCAGAGTGGAACCTTCACAGTTCAGAGATGCCCTTCAGCTTCGTATCCTGTAGTGATCCATTCTATGATGGGAGCATTTGGGAGTCAGTGCCAGGCTCCAGACACCTCCGTACATCCACACCTCTGCCTGTCATTGCCATTCTCCCCATCCCAGGGAGCACACCCATGTTAAACAAACACTTCTGACAGTGTCAGCTTTGGGCTCCCTGCCCTTGCTGGACAATAGGTACCCAGTTATTGCCTCCCACAAGCTATGGCTGCCAGGGCCGTGCTGAGCACTAGTCTACTTCTTCCCCCTGAGCACTGAGGTCCCGTGGGACATCTGGGTCCCCAAAGCTCCCATCCAGCATCTGTGCAGCTCGCCTCACCTGGAGCTCCCCAAAACTTTGTGCTTTAGGAGTTTCAGGCAGAAAGGTGCCCCGGAACAGAACCATGTTAGGAATCAGAGGGGTGAATCCCACCTTTCCTGGTGGGGCTGTAACATCTGCACTTTGGGAATGTGACAGAAGTGTGCGCAGGAATGGGTGGCAGCTGACCTGGAGCAGTTCAAATGGGGCTGCCCGTGGAGCACAGCTGAATTCAGGGGTCTGTGCTAATTGGACCTGAAAGGAGAGAACATAAAAGAGAAAATTCAAGATGAGCCTTTTCTCCCTGGGAAGAGGCTCTAATGAGGTTCTTTGCGCTGAGCCGGGGAGATGCTTTTTGTGTCAGTCAGCCTTACAGACAGGTCTGCAGGGAGCAGCTCTGCCGCTCCTTCTCCCGACGCGTGCAGCGCGATCCCTGCGGGCGTGCAGATCTCGTGCTGCGGCCCCGCTCCGCCACTGCGTGGGCTGCCCCTCGCAGGGAACGTTTCCCGAAGCCCCGACCCAGCCCTGCTCGCAGGGACGGCTCTGCTCAGCCTTGGTCGCACTGCTGTTAATCTGCCCCCAGGAACAGCTCCCACGCTCGGTAAATAAAAGCTGTCACTGGTGGCCCTGAGCAGTGAGGGGCTGTGGTTACATCCTGTGCTGCTCCGGAGCTGCGATCAGTGATGTGTGATAGGGTTTTTTTTTTTTTGCATAAGATATGAGTTGCATCTCTGTTTGCGGCTCTGTTTGTATGCTGTGCCAGGCAGTGTTCACATGAAGGGGCTGAGGGCTGTGCTCTGCCTGGCAGTGCTGTGAGCAGCAGCGTGGGGACAGGGAGATGTCCTCAGCTCACATCCCCAAAGGGCACTGCCCATATCATCTGGTGCTCGGTGCCCTGCTGGGGCTCGGAGGGAGCCTTACACTGGATGCACCCCTCCGGTGGCTCTTCCTCTGCTTCATTTCTCGCTGCTGTATGGATGTTAATAGAAGCCAGTTGCTGATTTGCTACTTTTGCTTTTGTTGCTGTAAGGAGAGCTGGGATCCGTTTGCCCAGAGGAGCTTCCCACCCTGCTGCCAGCTTTCAGAGGGTTCTTGTGGTGCTGTTCAGGGACCCCACATTTATTTTATTGATTTATTTCATGTCCGATTCTTTGGATAGCAGCCATTGTGCAGCTGCTCCCTGCTCCCAGGACAGCCTCTCCAATAGTCGCTATTCCCAAACAGCCGAGCCCTGCTTTGCTTTCAGCTAGTGCTCCTTTCCCTTGCAGAGAGATGCAGCTTTGCAGTCTGCTCCCGATCACACGAAGGCAAAGCTGTCATTTGCATGCAGGGCTCAGTTGCCAAGAGATGCTGAGAGCAGAGCCTGGCGGGCTGCACCCTCTCCCTCCCAGCTGCCGGTGTTTTATTCATGTCCCTTTGGCTCTCGCATTTGGAAAATAATAAACCTCAGTGTGCTCTGGTTCTGCAGCACGTCGATGAGTTGTGAACGCCCGTGTGCTGCTGGTAATCCCAGTGGGCAACAGCCTAAATTCCTGCCCTGGGGAAGGCAGAAAGAAATGAGATGATTGCATTCAAAGCAGAAAAGTGCTCGAGTTGCTCTTTACGTGAGCCCCAGAGCTCAGGCAAGAAAACTCTCATGCAGTTTGCATGGTGATGTGAAGGTGATCTCAGTGCACAAAGGGCTCTCTTATGATCCATAATGGATTTGGTACCTAACCCAGCTGTGAAGTCTTGCATCCATCCCAGCCAACAGTGAGAGTGCTGGGGCAGGGGGTGGATTTTGCAGGCATCGCTGCTCCCGGCTCATTGCTGTGTCCTGCAAGGAAGTGGCTCACAGCCCATAAAACATTGAAATAGGGCCAGAGCGAGTCTAAACGGTCTGAATATTTAATGGAATAAATTTGGCTTAATTTCACTTTCATCTTTCATTTGTGATAAAATATTGAATTCAAAGGTGCAGAACTGGGATTTTCTTTGAAAGCAGAGGGAAATGGGGCCTTGTAGTCTGTCTGAGTGCTGGCTGCTGGGGGACGTCCCTCAGAGCTCCCCTGGGAACGGTGGGCGCTGACAGCAGCGGGGTCCTGGGTGCGGTGCTGCGGGTCCACGTGCACCCAGCATGGAGACAGCGTGGGCTGCCTCTCCTTGAGCTGTTGCTGACTCATTCGTTACCGCCGATTAATTATCTGCCCCCAGCAGGCTGCTGCACGTTTTGGAGTAAATGAGCCTTTGGGGCAGCGCGGCGCAGCGGAGCTCGGCGGGTGCTGGTGATGTTGGCCATGCAGTCAGCAACCCAACACTTGGGGGAGTGCAGTGGGTGCTGCAGCAGTCAGGCTCCAGCAGTCAGGCTCCAGCAGTCAGGCTCCAGCAGTCATCCCCATGTCTGGGCAGGGAATGGGTTTTGGCAATGTATGGCACTGGCAGAGCATCGTGTCCTGGCACTCATTGTGCTCCAGCACTGGGAACAGGCAGTGCCCACCAATGGTCATCTCCCTTCAGATGAAAATAGAAAACAAAAAACCTCCCCCCCCCAACCCCTTTGGATAATGGAAATATTTTTAATAAAGGATCCCATCTGAGTGCATGGGAGCTGTGTTTGTGGAGGGAAGGAGCTGTGCCTGAGCCATTGTCCATTCGTCCTTGGCTGGCAGTGGGGGGGGGGTACTGGTTACTATGGAAATGGGAAATGGGCAGATCGAGATCTTGTTTACCTGCAGAGCTCTGCCACAAGGAAACCAAACATTGAGCATCGTGCT